CTAATTTTGTTTCAATCTTTTCGAGTAAGCTTCCGTAAGAGCAAGTCAGAAATAACAAATGGCCTTCATATGGGCCTAATGTACCATAGATCACATGGAAATGGGAAATACTATGCGTATTCCAGTTCACCTGGAAATGAGACATAAGACGCTCGCATGCGTGCAAATGCACACATGAAAATGTCTATCAGAGCTCATCATATATATTACATGGAAATAGAAAACTCACCATTTAAAAATGGGAGACATCCGTGAAAATGTTCATCAGACAAAATACTGCATATAATATCTACCATCCGTAACCAATGATGGATGGTGAAGATTAACTGCTCTTCCTCTTGAACAGAATCACATACTTGTGTGGAAGCACCAATCATCTCCACTTACCATTGTTTACAGACTTTGAGAATTATATATACCATTTTGATTGTTTACAGACTCTGAGAATTATATCTACTATTTCCATTGTTTACAGACTCTCAGAATTATACGTACCATACTAGTAACATACTACAAGCATTACATGTACGCCCAAATTTTTAAGTGGACCAACTTAAAATCAAATAAAATTAGTCTTAATTGAGTTATTTTAGGAATTAAAACAGTGCTTCCCATAGGGGAAGTGTCACAATTTGGTAAACGATTGACCATACTACTAGCCATAGCATTTCCCATAGGGGAAGTGTCACAATTTGGAAAACGATTGACCATACCAGCCATAGTTATCAGATCGAGCAGTCCACCGAATTGGTCAGGGCTATAGTCCAAATCAAAACCGATTTGACTGCTGATTGGACCGTTTGGGCCAGATTTTAGAAAAGCAGAAGAAGCTTAAGAACCATCATCATCATCATCATCAAAGCCTTATCCGAATCATTTGGCGTCGGCTATACGAATCTTGTTATGCCATTCGACTCTATCAAAGGCCATACCCTCAATATGACTATAAATGCCCATATTCTCACCACTTCCATCCATGTCCTTTTGGGCCTTTCCCTTACCCTTTTAGAGTGTTCCACATGAACAAAATCACACCTCCTAATCGATGTTGGATTGGGTATCCGATGCACATGCCCAGTCCACCTAAGTCTACTTTCCCTAATCTTGTTGCCTATTGGAGCCACCCCTAAGTTCTCTCAAATATATTCATTCCGAACTCTATTCTTTCTTATCTTGCCACTCATCCATCTCAACATTCTCATCTCGGCATAAGAAAATTAAGATTATTAGTTCAAAAATATGAAATATATCAAAAAACATTTATCAACTTTATTTAGGAAATCAAATCAATCAAAACCCAAAAGGTTTTTGTGTTAGCCATGATCTGTCAAGGCACTGATCAGTGATCCGACTGGTTAGACCAGGTGATTTGGCCCGGTCTTGATAACTTTGCTACCAGCACACATGTATAGACAAATGCACAAAGAAGTTCTTGACCACCTTAAAGTCCAGCAACATAAATTTTCAGGCCTCTTTTGATATACCTAATGAACACACATTTACATTTCATTTTGTTATTTTACCCAAATTGGGAGGTGTCTCGAAATAGAGAAGTATTGATAAATCTGGGCATTTTGGGTTGTTTAAAAAAAATGGAGATTTGGTTGAGTTGAGCTTGGATGCTTTTCATGAATTTCTGCCTTTTTTAGGCTCAAAAGTGTTAGTTCCAAACAAAATTAGCAATGTAGACTCAGCCAGATGGACTGACTACGAAAAACTAACCATTCAAGTTTCCCACATGTATAATATTGCAGTCCTAAAAGAGGATGGAATCCTGGATATGCCCCTACAATCAAACAAAACAAGGAAATTAGCAATTAAAAAGATAGCATTACTTATGCAACAAACTTTTAAGCAAGACTATACATAAACCCACAAAGAAGCATAATGAGTTTTTGAAAGGGGTTAGTGTCTACCCCTATTTATTTAGTAATTGCATCCAACCATGCAATTCACACTATAATTTTTACAGCAGAAGTATTAACATGATGGGTAATGATTCAGTTACTAAGAAAGGGGGAGTAAACTACAGCCCCCTTTTCCAAAGGTAAGCCTTTTTATGTGGGTTCAATTCTCAGCCATCCAATCCGAATGAATGGTCAGAAGAGCATCAGCCATAATGTCAGAAGTTTTCTTTGATTGTTTAATCATGATCAGATGGCTCAGAGTATTTGGATTTTTAATCTTTTTTATATTATCATTTTAAGATAAAATTTGCAGCATTCCCCTCCTCACTGGGGAGCACGTAATAACAATAATATAAAAATATTTCGATAATAAAAAATGACCAAAATGCCCCAATAAGTTACAGGCATTGTTTATAGTCGAAAATTTTTTCTCATTTTATTTCGTGTGCCCTAGTGAGAAGGAGAAACTCCACAATATTATCTCAAAATGATTTGCAAGAAAAAAGACAAAACAAAAAACCCTAAAACTAGCCACATTAGGTGTGATGTTGTGAAGCTATCCCACCGGTCAATTTGAATTGGATGGCTAAGAATAGAAGTCACTTATGTTTTTATATGTGGGTGGTGCCACATAAACAGGTACCCCTTTCCTAAAAGTACGGAATGGAATCGTTCTTGTTAGGATATAATAGAGCAAGCCCAATCCATTCCACGAAATCACCATGCAGTCTTTGTCAAACTCATAAGAAACAATATTCATAGGAAATTTCATAGCTTCACATACTTTGGTAAACAAGAATAGTTAATTGGCAATATCTTAATGCTTCTTCGCAGTCCTTTAGCTCCATCAGTATCTGTAGGCATATCAAAATTAACGTAAGTTATTAAGTCTAACAAGAAAATAAAAGGTTACGTCACACTAACAAGAATGAGAATAATACAAAAAATGATAAATCAATGAGTAATTAAAATGAGTTTTAAGAATTAATAAAAATGAGTATTTATAAAAATAAGTTCTTTCTCTTTGATAACTAAGTACTGATTCAAGAATCAAGAATGACAATAAAATAAATCAAACAAGGGAGTAATGACTAGCTTCTCTTTCGCTTATAGGTACAAGAAATCAATATATTTTTATGTTGTAGCTGTTAGATGGATATTGACCATGTTTTTATGAATGAAGCTAAGCCATTGCCATTTGGAACTATGCTTAATTCATAGTTAAATTATATTAACAACTTAATAACTGATGAAAAGATATAAAAGGAATAACCAATAAAGGACTGGTACCATTACAAGGGTCTCCCGAGTTCGCATCAAACCAATTGAGAGTGGATGGTATAGTTCCATTTGTTGTTGATCAATGATCCTATACAAATTGCAAGCTTCAGAATACTCTGATTTGGTCAAGGGGTCAACATTCCAGTGCATGATATTGGCTTTCATTCTCATCACTTGATTCTCATCACTCAAAGTTCTAGACACAATGACTTTTATCCAGTGAAACACTGTATGTGTGTGCATCTGTATGTATATATATATATAGCAGGAGGATATACTTATCAAATACAATAACAAATAATTTTATCAATTGGAAGATCGCAACAGATAGTTCAGCGTAAAAAGAATATAGGAAGTTATAGTAGTATCTTATATTAATGAGATTAATAAATCTATTAACTTTCAAAAAGGATACTTCCAGAGGAGACGAATTGAGAAGCATAATCTAGTTTCTCTTCCACTTCTTCCTTCCTCTTTCTTGTCTTGCACTCATTCCTAAGAAGTCCACAACGTTGACAAGTAAAATTCTTATCATCTGCACTGGATCATAACATAACCAGGAAAAGTTCTAGATGTCAACCATGGGAAAAAAAGCTTAGCCATATTTAATGAAGCTGCTTAGCATTTTAATAAGTCATTTTTATTACCTGCCAGGATTTGGTAGCAGAAAACCATCACACTGGTCATTTATGAAACTAAAACCTTCCAAAAGGGCACTCTCTTTCAAGTTATCATCAGAGCTCTTCAATTATTGAAGCCACAAGTCATTTGCATCCATCCATAAATCAGGGAAATTGTTAGGACAGCGCATTGTACAGTTCATCTTGACAATGGATGGTTGAGGTTACATCCATACAACTTCAATCAAGAGAAAGAAATTAAGACTACATTAAAACTTCTATCATTTTAGATATGTGTCGATGCAGTCCTGCTAATGTCAACTCTAGCACATGATTTTTTTATTTTATTTTTTTACCATTCACGAGTACTGTTCAAGGGTATTGTTCATAAATTAGTGTTCATAGGGGTATTTTTGAAATTTTAAATATTGTTTAGGGGTGCTATGGAGTTTTTGAGAATTGTTTGGAATTTCTTAATTAGTAAGAGTAGTTTGGTGTTTTATTATAACTTAGGGTTTAAAAGAGTAGCTATTTAAAACTTTGTAAAGAGGTTAGCAAGTAGTTGCTGATGTTATCATTGTAGAGAGATTTTTTTGCATTGAAGCGTTTTTGAGCTTTGCTTTTATTGAATCTATTGAATTTCAAGTCCTATTTTCTCTTCGATCTTGTCCATCCGCACTTTGTGCTTCATCAATTCAGAGCCAATGGGTTTTCTTCACACACTAAGTGATGTAGGAAGACACAAAGAAACATAGAAAAATCAGCAAGAAGCACCTTGACACAAGCAATTTTGGAGAAAACCTAAGGCTTTCTCCCACTTAAGGCTCAAGCCTTAGGCTTCTTTTACAAGACAAAATCTTTCTTTTCTTAAAGAGGAATACATGAATAACTCTCCAGCCCATCAATGCCCTAATTTATATTGAAAATTTATTGTTTTGAACAATGTTTGTTTATACAATTAACTTTTGACCAAAAGGTCCTAACTTAAGTATAAATTTCATAACGATAGTTTTACCCCTGTGAACAGTACCCATGAACAGTATTCATGAATAAACTTTTCTCATGAAATAAATAAAAAAATTATAAAAACCCTAGAACCCCTAAAAAAACTAAAAATCCTAAAAATAAGCCCTAAAAGCAAACTATAATATACATTCTTTAAAGTTGAACAAAAATAAAGAATAAGAATATTTTTCCCTCCTCTATCATTCTCCTTTGGTTGGAGAAAATGCGTCCTCGAGTTTTGAAGTGCGCCAAAATGAAATTAACGTTAACTCGACAACATTCTTCAACTTGAATATTGTAAACATGAACCGGGATCTTACGGGTTACAACACTGATAAAAATACGAAGATTATGCATTGAAACTAAGAAACCCTCGAGGAAAGGTCACTGTATGTCGATAGAATAGTTTTAATCACATAAACTTGTTGAAATTGCATCACTTCAGCCATGTAACCCTGCTGAATTTGCTCAGGCTCAGCTCTAGGACATACCACGAGTGCATCTTTGATATCAGCGATTAAACCAACAACTTCACCCTCTTTCAAAATATCTTCACCATCATCGTGATCCTTATCATAGATCGAATCTCCTAAACGATCTTGTTGTTCATCTGAGTATATATGGAAGATTGGTGGTGAATCCCAGTCTATAACTTACTGATTTTTTATGCAATCTGTGTCAAAAATAAATATCATCCTATAAATTGAAAATCCTAGAGTGATGAACCGTCTACGTATCTAGTCGTTGTCCTCATCACTCGACTCCACACGCGGAGAGCAAAAGTGAAAAGGCTTGTACTCGAGATCCTCTTGGGCTAAAAGATCATCGTTTTGCCCCTTATTGAGGCTCACGAACTACCACACTAGCTGCTGTACTTACTTCTCAAGTTCCTCAATTCTGTCAGCTATGGGATCACAGAGTGGATCTACGAAAATCCTCGTTTTAAGACCCCTTTTTGCGGCCATGAGTTTGCCAAAATCACAAATCCTAGGCAAATAATCAACAAAAATTGCTGAAATCCACAAGATCTATGTTGTTTTGGGAAAACCTTAGCCAAAATCAACAAACCCTAGACCCCATTATAACTTTCCCTCTTTGTTGTTGACCTAGGGCACCAAAGAAAGTGGTTCTATAGTAACTCTATATGTCTATTGCTACGGTAACTTCCATACTTACTATAATAACTTCTATGAAGATCATGGGCTCTGATACTTGATGTAGAAAAACTTGAAGAAACACAGAAAAATCAGCAAGAAGTACCTTGACACCAGCAATTTTAGATAAACATGACTCTCCGGCCCATCCATGCCCTTATTTATATTGAAAAATTATTATTTTGGACAATATTTATCCATACAATTAGCTATTGACCAAAAGGTCCTAACTTAAGTATAAATTTCATAATGACAGTTTTATTCCTGTGAATAGTACTCCTGAATAGTACTTGTGAATAGTAATAATGAAATAAATAAACAAACTATAAAAACCCTAGAATCCCTAAAAACAACTAAAAACCCTAGAAATAAGCCCTAAAAACAAACTATAACATACATCCTTTAAATTTGAACAAAATTAAAAAATAAGAACATTTTTTCCCTCCATCACCATGGCATTCAGTTTCTTTGGAAACACGAGGATGGCTGCAAAAGAGTTGCGAGGAAGTGACCATGTTAGAGGATGTCGCGGTCGAGACACAGGAGTTAGAACCATGATGGCAGCTTTGGAGGTTAATCTTCAGAGATTTGACATAGTGGCTTCCGAGGTGCGCCAGTTCAGAGACATCACCTAGAACTGTGCCAACAAAGAGGTGAGCAAAGGTGATCACTTGCATCCCCAATGTTTAAGATGTAGACCAAATCTGAATTCAGAGGATGCTTCAGACAGAGATAGTTTGGGATCATATAGGTTACTGGCAAGACACCCTATACCATTTGAGGATCGGTAGGTTCAAGCACATGAAAGCTCTGAACAAAGTATTAGGGTTGATGTTCCTAATTTTAGTGGGAGATTACAGTCAAATGACTTCCTTGACTGGCTTGAAGGTGTCAAAACAAATTTTTCCAATAGAATGATATGGCAGAGCATAAAAAGATTATTGGTACTAGGTTAAAAGGTCATGCTTTGTTGTGATGGCATCAAATATAAGTTAATCACACAAGAAAAGAAAAGTAAAAGGCCCTGAAGTAGGGAGAAGTTGAAAAGGCATTTAAAGGGAAAATTTCTTCCACAATTTTATGCAAGATCTTTACCAACACTCCATCGATTAAAATATGATTTATTGGTACTAGGTTCAAAGGTCATGCTTTGTCGTCATGCCATCAAATACAAGTTGATCACACAAGAAAAGGAAAGTAAAAGGCCCTGAAGTATGGAGACGATGAAAAGGCATTTGAAAGGAAAATTTCTTCCAAAAATTTTATGCAAGATCTTTACCAACACTCCATCGATTACGGCGGAAAGATGTTGCAATACAGGATTATATGGAAGCGTTCTATCAGTTATTGAATCGGAATGATATTCGAGAGACGACTAACAAGCTGATTGCAAGATATACCTGTGGGCTACGTGTTGCAATATAAGAGGAGTTGTCCCTGCATCAGATTTTTATTTTGGATCAAGCTTATTAACCCGCTTTGAAGACTGAGACCAAGATAACAGATCTGGGCCCAAGTGCATGTAAATAAGCAACTAGCCACAACAAAGTCCAAAGAGGTATTGAGGTCAAGGCGTAACCAGTCCCATGGTGTGGAACGGGGTCCATTTAAGGACCAAACCGACCAATGCAGGACTAGTACAACAGTCCCCAAACAACGGTAAATCAGGAACATGGTTCAAGTGTGGTGAGCCGAGACATAGGTCTTATGATTGCCGAAACGCCAAGCTGGCATCCACTTGCAAGGGAAATCTACGGAAAGTAATGGGGAGAAAAACGTGCACACCGATGAAGGGAGCGATGCTGATATCGAGGGAGGTGAAGAAAACACATACCCCAATGACAGCATGCTCTTAGTGATTCAACCTACACTAGCTACACCCAAGGTTGTTCACAAGCCATGGCTGAGCCTAATATTTATCGCACAAGATGCACATAGCATATGCCAAAACACTAGGGGCGTTATGCAGGCACCCAATCTATATTTCAAAGACGTTTGGCTTCATGATGTTCCAAAAACTGCACGTTTTATAAGCCACTTATGGAGGACAAAACTGTAGTTCAGCAGTGTATACCATCCTCAAATAGATGGTCAATAGAGGGAATTAACAGGAGTTTGGGCAATCTTTTGCGCTGTTTCACAAAGAGAACGACCACAACATAGGGATTTGTTCTTCTCATGCTCAGTTTGTGTATAACAATGCTAAAAATAGAACCACGAGGAGATCACCTTTTGAAGTAGTTTACGGCAGGAACACAAAAAAGTATGAGATCTGGTGAATTTGCCTGATATGGAGCGAGTTAGCAATTATGCAGAGGCTTAAGAGGAACACAATGC